CATATTTTGACAAACGATATTATAAGCGTCCCTGTTTCAACATTTTGATATTTGTCTATAAATAAGTTGTTCGACGATAGAATCGCCAGAATGCCATTGTGCAACTGAAGCCCATGACAAAGTCAAACACATTTTTATGTCATGTTCTCTTAATTCGCAAGAAAGAAATGAAATGTTCGAAAACATTTTCGATTTTTTTTTCAATGTAAAGTGCGTCATACCAATCTTGTTCAGAAGTTTTCGGATCGCGGTTACAACATTCAAGGCCTCAGTAAAGCTTCCCAACGGCTTTATGGTAGACCCGTGGGGGGCATTTCCAAATTTGTCGCTTCAGTGACAAGCATGATGTCCGATGCAATTCCCTATCTTGACTTGAACCATATGTTCCCGTGTCTTTTTCGGGTAAACAATTGGGAAGAATACGCTCACCTTTTCGCAAACACCTGGTATCATTACTATTTGATAGTGAACGTGATAGTAATAGTGATAGTGAACACATGCTTTTGAAATAGTTGGGATCGCACAATCGAATCTGCTTTCGGCAGAGATATGGAAAGGGTTTTGTCGCTCCTATTGTTGATCTGTGGTCGACTGATGAAGATGTAATCATGTCTTTTCTCTGAGGTGGACTGGCTGCATGAAAGATCTTGGCTTTGATGTAAGGGACAAAACGATGGCACCAGTTTCTGATTATGTTAAGAAGTGGCAGCCTTGTTCAAACCCCCTTCACTATGACATGTAACTATTTTGTTTAGTTGCAATTCTATCGATATCTCTGTCTTATATAATGTCTCTTCGTGTATCTTCTGGAGGGAATAAAGACGATCTGCCTGCCTGCCTGTCTGTCTATCTATACATATTTGTTACAATCTGGACAAAAGGCGATGGTACTTTGTCTTTATCTTGTGTACCTGAATGGTTTAAAGATGCTTTGAAGTACAGCGTTTGGGCAGAAATCTTGTTTGTTTGTTTGTTGTTTGACGCCGCACTCCAGCAATATTCCAGCTACATGACGGCGAACTGTAAATAATCGAATCTGGACCTGACAATCCATTGATTGATATCATGAGCATCGATCCACGCAGTTGGGATACGATGACAAACAAAGTATTTAAACAGCGAGTTTTACTTGACGTGAACTTAACCTGTTAATCAGCTTGACTGTGTTGTGGAGCCAGGCTTCTGTCTGTACTTGACGAGTGTTTTGGATCTGTCGCTGTCTGCACCAGTAGGCCTGGCGTGTGGGTGTTCAGTAGGGGCTGTGTTGGGCAAAAATCACATACTTTTGCATGCTGATTGTGAGTGACAGGCAGCACGTGCATGCCTTTTCGGGATCACCAGGTGTCATCATTCATCGTCGGTGATCCATACATTTTTTTCCACCACTAATTTGCTTATTACGCGCATTGGAATCTGTTTGGGAAGATAATCGAGAATGATTATTCTCTGGCGTTGACGTTTTGAAGTATATTTATTGAAAGGACCAAACAGCTGAACTGTACACCATGTTTGGGCACTACGGACCTAGAACTGGGAAAACATCGGAAAGAAAGCATGGAGTTGTTTCTTCCGAATGATTGGTCGTCTCGTGACGGACACAGCCAACCATTATAGTGTACGAAATACATGCATGTTCGCGACTCCACGCCTGTTTCATCTTCTTGGTCTTTTAGTGTGCACATAACACATACATATGTATATATTCTAATCCACATAACACACGCACATTTCTACCTTAGGCTGCGTTCACACAGTGCGGATTATGGCTCCCGTTTGAGATCGGACAGCGCTACGATACGAAAAGTTAAAAAATCGGATTACTATCCTCAATGATCTGGAATTTCCTATCATTGTCTGAACGTAGTCGTTTACGTTCGTAACAGAGTCCTGCGTATCGGGAAAGGTCCAAAGAGGTCGGCCAAGCACTCCCGACAGTATGGTGCGTCCCGTAACATTCGGGAAACTCAGCCGATTTTGTCTAGTCGGATTACAATCGTGACTATGTCGTGACAGATTCTGCTGTATCGGATCAAAATCGTAACGTCCTGTGTTGTCTGGACGGTGTCCTGTGGATCGGGACGCTGTCGTGATGAATGGGGATGATTTGGAGAAATTGTTTATTGCCGTTTCTTGTCGACGTAAATCAGATTGCGTCCAGATTTTGCCGAATGCGAACCGTCTTTGTCTGTTTACTTTCAAGTCAGTGTCTGATCTCTGTTAGATCACATTCGGGAGAATCGGGACGCTGTCGGGACATATTCGGTCGTTTTTTACCATGAGGAAGATACGAATCGGATCAGATTCGGATTGAGAACGGGATAATCGGGACGAATTCGGCTGGAAACGGCTGAATCGGGACGCTTCCTGAACAATATCTGATTGTTGTCGTGATTAATTAAATGTTTTTACAAATTTGTGAATTTCCCGCCACGAATCACAGGCTCTTAATCAGACTCTTGGCAAATTTGATTCGGGAATGGTCCTATCAAGATCTATCAAGGACGGCAGTTACATCCTGAATGTATGACTGAGCCCTTACATAACACAATCATTTCCATCTTACATATCGCACACACACATTTCCGTCTTACATAACACATGCACATATCTATTCCACATAATAACAAAAAATAAAATCGACAAAACCCTTTCCATATTCATGACATCTCATGAGACACAACCCAGTGAAGATCCGGGTTAGAACATGCTTGTCGTAAGAGGCGACCAACGGGATCGGGAGGTCAGGCCCGCTGACTTTCTTGATGCATGTCATCGTATCCCAATTGCGTGGATAGATTCTCATCACTGGATTGTCTGGTCGATTATTTCATATATTGCTGAGTGCGGCGTTAAACAACAAACATAAGACACACATTTCTATCTTACATTACACACACATTTCTATCTTACATTACACACACGTCTTTACATAGCACACATTTATATGTTTCATATCACACACACATTTTTCTATGTCATAACTAACACTTTTCTATCGTACATAGCACACCTTTCTATCTCACATAACACACATTTCTATCTCATATAGCGCATTTTTCTATCTTACATAACACACATTTCTATCTAACATTACAATCATTTCTATCTTACATAACACACACATTTCTATCTTACACAAAACACATATTTCTATCTTACATAACACACATGTATTTTTACCGTTCTTAAATGCGTTGCTGATGCTTGACTGCCCTGACAAATGATTGGTATTCTGAAAATCCTTTAAACACTGCTTCGGCATAGCCGCGACTTTGATGACAAGTGTTTAATGTCAATTGTGCCGAGTGTGGCGATGCTGATACGACCGTCGTCACCTCTTCCTTACGCATCCCCATCCGCATCACAGTTCGGCGACTGTTCTACCGTGTGCGTCCAGTCGGAGTGAGTCATGTAACGTGACTGAGAGGTAATGTCGTTAGCTGACGACGTGTGGGATTTACAGACACTGCGGTGTAATTGGATGTGTTTTATAATTAATAAAGTAGTTCCTGATCAAGCCTGCTTACAGTCAGCGTAATGAAATAGTTCCCGTCACTGGGTCAACGCCGAACATGTGTGACAGGCCGACACGACTGACTCCACGGGAAGTGACGTCATATTACAAAATACAATCACGTGACTCAATATTCTATTCCCCTGCGATTAACTGCAAATCAAAATTTATGAGTTTTTGGCATCCCGTGGTGGTCAAATTGTCACACGAGCACGAAACAATTATTGTGGTTCCCCGTCAGACATGTCCAACAGACGCTGAGTGCCTCGTGATCAGTTATCTCTCTCCGCAAAACACAGAATCGCTCTTTACTTGGTCCGTCGGGAATCCATCAACAATGTAAAGGGTAGGGGTTAGGGGAATAACACCAACGTAGCCCACGTGCCCAGGACATGTGGAAAAGTTTTTTGTCTGAAAAGTAGGATTAGCTCAAGTCAGCTCACGTCGTAGGAGTACAATGTCATACCAAAACAGCCAGATATTTCAAGGCCCATCCAGTTATTACACGTACACAAATGCTCGGCTTGGCAATGTATGAGCACGTGTCTAAACACCTCCTTAACACATCCTCGGTAGGCCTGGGTTAGATTTCCAGTCTATATTGTGATTATTACCCAGGATCCAATCGCTACAGTTGATTCGCTCGGAAGCGATGCAACAATCACCAACTCTCTTTCTAGAACGTTCCACGGTATTTCCTTCTCACATTAGTGTAATTTGATTCGACGGACAATGTGAGTGTGTGAGTGAATGAGTTGGGTTTTACGTCATTGTTCCAGCTATATTGAGCTCATCCATCGTCCCGTGGCCATGAAGATAACATGGATAACCGAGGATGCTTTGAAAACAAGATCAGAGATATCAGGATATAGTGATATCACACAGTGTCAGGATATAGAGATCTCACACAGTGTCAAGGCATAGTAATATCACACAGTGTCGGGATATATTGATGTAAGCGAGTTATGGTGTCGAAATGTCCAGTAATTTATACAGGATTACTGTTTACACAGCCTGTGCTGCCTGTGTTGTCGGTGTGGAATGTGTCACCCGCCCCGCATGTGTCCCCTATGTCGACGTGTCGAATGTGTCACCCGCCCCGCATGTGTCCCCTATGTCGACGTGTCGAATGTGTCACCCGCCCCGCATGTGTCGCCTGTGTCGCTGGTGTCGAATGTGTCACCCGCCCCGCATGTGTCCCCTATGTCGATGTGTCGAATGTGTCACCTGCCCCGCATGTATCGCATCTGTCGCCTGTGTCGAATGTGTCACCCGTCCCGCATGTGTCGCCTGTGTCGCTGGTGTCGAATGTGTCACCCGCCCCGCATGTGTCCCCTATGTCGACATGTCGAATGTGTCACCCGCCCCGCATGTATCGCATCTGTCGCCTGTGTCGCTGGTGTGGAATGTGTCACCCGCCCCGCATGTGTCCCCTATGTCGACGTGTCGAATGTGTCACCCGCCCCGCATGTATCGCATCTGTCCCCTATGTCGCCGGTGTGGAATGTGTCACCCGCCCCGCATGTGTCGCCTGTGTCGAATGTGTCACCCGCCCCGCATGTATCGCATCTGTCGCATGTGTCGCCGGTGTCGAATGTGTCACCCGCCCCGCATGTATCGCATCTGTCGCATGTGTCGACGTGTCGAATGTGTCACCCGCCCCGCATGTATCGCATCTGTCGCATGTGTCGCCGGTGTCGAATGTGTCACCCGCCCCGCATGTATCGCATCTGTCGCATGTGTCGCCGGTGTGGAATGTGTCACCCGCCCCGCATGTGTCGCCTGTGTCGAATGTGTCACCCGCCCCGCATGTATCGCATCTGTCGCATGTGTCGCCGGTGTCGAATGTGTCACCCGCCCCGCATGTATCGCATCTGTCGCATGTGTCGCCGGTGTCGAATATGTCACCCGCCCCGCATGTGTCGCCTATGTCGAATGTGTCACCCGCCCCGCATGTGTCGCCTGTGTCGAATGTGTCACCCGCCCCGCATGTATCGCATCTGTCGCATGTGTCGCCGGTGTCGAATATGTCACCCGCCCCGCATGTGTCGCCTATGTCGAATGTGTCACCCGCCCCGCATGTGTCGCCTGTGTCGAATGTGTCACCCGCCCCGCATGTATCGCATCTATCGCATGTGTCGCCGGTGTGGAATGTGTCACCCGCCCCGCATGTGTCGCCTGTGTCGAATGTGTCACCCGCCCCGCATGTATCGCATCTGTCGCATGTGTCGCCGGTGTCGAATGTGTCACCCGCCCCGCATGTATCGCATCTGTCGCATGTGTCGCCTGTGTCGAATGTGTCACCCGCCCCGCATGTATCGCATCTGTCGCCGGTGTCGAATATGTCACCCGCCCCGCATGTGTCGCCTATGTCGAATGTGTCACCCGCCCCGCATGTGTCGCCTGTGTGGAATGTGTCACCCGCCCCGCATGTATCGCATCTGTCGCATGTATCGCCGGTGTCGAATGTGTCACCCGCCCCGCATGTATCGCATCTGTCGCATGTATCGCCGGTGTGGAATGTGTCACCCGCCCCGCATGTGTCGCCTGTGTGGAATGTGTCACCCGCCCCGCATGTATCGCATCTGTCGCATGTATCGCCTGTGTCGAATGTGTCACCCGCCCCGCATGTATCGCATCTGTAGCATGTATCGCCGGTGTGGAATGTGTCACCCGCCCCGCATGTATCGCATCTGTCGCATGTATCGCCTGTGTCGAATGTGTCACCCGCCCCGCATGTATCGCATCTGTCGCATGTATCGCCTGTGTCGAATGTGTCACCCGCCCCGCATGTATCGCATCTGTAGCATGTATCGCCGGTGTGGAATGTGTCACCCGCCCCGCATGTATCGCATCTGTCACATGTATCGCCGGTGTCGAATGTGTCACCCGCCCCGCATGTTTCGCCTGTATCGCCGGTGTCGACATGAAAGCACACTCACACATGGATCTGCAATGCCCAGTGTACATCATAACGCTTATACCACCTGAATTCACACATTGTGCAGGTTTTATTTATTTATCTTGAACTTGGAAACCATTCTGAACATTCAAAGATATTTATTTTGTTGCGTTTTACGTTACACTATCATGGACGCATACTAGCGTCATAACAATACCATCTTTTACACCACTCGGCGCCTCTCGGCTTATTCCGTTACCTACATTGTGTAATTGCTCCCGAAACCCGAAAGTTTCGGTTCCGATGACGTCATTGTCGTCATGGTAACACACGATTAGTTCGTGCAAATAAGCACCCTGTGTACTTGACCATGCTATAAGTGCTTCATAAGTGTGCGGCCACCACGTGACCACAGCTGTGCGGGGAATCTCGTTCTGACGGACTCCGGGAACAGGCCTGAGACTAGCCCCGCCTGTTGTTGAGCTGTCGAGGCTTGTATATTTAGCTAAAGGTTTTTTTCTTATTAGAACACAGAAATTAGGCCCTTTCTTTTTTTCACTTCTTAGGGAAAAACAGGGTTATTACGAACCGAAAGTTTTCATTTTCCGTTTTGACAAAAATGTTACAAATGTATAAAGTTTACCTGAGAACAAAGCAACACACTTATTAGTATTCAGGGGACCGTTAACGACATTCGCCAGTTGAGCCTGTTTCAGCCTGGGAAATGTGCAGGGTCGGTTTTTTTGTTAAGAAACCCCCTGGAATTTACCAACCAACCGCCCTCCACAGTCCTACCAACCAAACTCCCTCCACCGCCCTACCAACCAACATCCTCCACCGCCCTACCAACCAACCTCCCTCCACCGTCCTACTAACCAACATCCTCCACCGCCCTACCAACCAACCTCCCTCCACCGTCCTACCAACCAACCTCCCTCCACCGTCCTACCAACCAACATCCTCCACCGCCCTACCAACCAACCTCCCTCCACAGTCCTACCAACCAACATCCTCCACCGCCCTACCAACCAACCTCCCTCCACCGCCCTACCAACCAACCGCCCTCCACATTCCTACCAACCAAACTCCCTCCACCGCCCTACCAACCAACCTCCCTCCACCGTCCTACCAACCAACATCCTCCACCGCCCTACCAACCAACCTCCCTCCACCGTCCTACCAACCAACATCCTCCACCGCCCTACCAACCAAACTCCCTCCACCGCCCTACCAACCAACCTCCCTCCACCGTCCTACCAACCAACATCCTCCACCGCCCTACCAACCAACCTCCCTCCACCGTCCTACCAACCAACATCCTCCACCGCCCTACCAACCAACCTCCCTCCACAGTCCTACCAACCAACCGCCCTCCACAGTCCTACCAACCAAACTCCCTCCACCGCCCTACCAACCAACATCCTCCACCGCCCTACCAACCAACCTCCCTCCACCGTCCTACCAACCAACATCCTCCACCGCCCTACCAACCAACCTCCCTCCACCGTCCTACCAACCAACATCCTCCACTGCCCTACCAACCAAACTCCCTCCACCGCCCTACCAACCAACCTCCCTCCACCGTCCTACCAACCAACATCCTCCACCGCCCTACCAACCAACCTCCCTCCACCGTCCTACCAACCAACATCCTCCACCGCCCTACCAACCAACCTCCCTCCACCGTCCTACCAACCAACATCCTCCACCGCCCTACCAACCAACCTCCCTCCACCGTCCTACCAACCAACATCCTCCACCGCCCTACCAACCAACCTCCCTCCACCGTCCTACCAACCAACATCCTCCACCGCCCTACCAACCAACCTCCCTCCACCGTCCTACCAACCAACATCCTCCACCGCCCTACCAACCAACCTCCCTCCACCGTCCTACCAACCAACATCCTCCACCGCCCTACCAACCAACCTCCCTCCACCGCCCTACCAACCAACCGCCCTCCACAGTCCTACCAACCAAACTCCCTCCACCGCCCTACCAACCAACCTCCCTCCACAGTCCTACCAACCAAACTCACTCCACCGTCCAACCAACCAACCTCCCTCCACAGTCCTACCAACCAAACTCACTCCACAGTCCTACCAACCAACCTCCCTCCACAGTCCTACCAACCAAACTCACTCCACCGACCAACCAACCAACCTCCCTCCACAGTCCTACCAACCAACATCCTCCACCGTCCTACCAACCAACATCCTCCACCGTCCAACCAACCAACATCCTCCACCGTCCGACCAACCAACATCCTCCACCGTCCGACAAACCAACATCCTCCACCGTCCGACCAACCAAACTCACTCCACCGACGAACCAACCAACCTCCCTACCCGGTCCCACCAACCATCTTCCCTCCACCGTCCTACCAACCAAACTCACTCCACAGTCCTACCAACCATCTTCCCTCCACCGTCCAACCAACCAAACTCACTCCACAGTCCTACCAACCATCTTCCCTCCACCGTCCAACCAACCAAACTCACTCCACCGACCAACCAACCAACCTCCCTCCACAGTCCTACCAACCAATCTCCCTCCACCGACCAACCAACCATTCTCCCTCCACCGTCCTACCAACCGCCCTCTCTCCACCGTCTTACCAACCATCTTCCCTCCACCGTCCTACCAACCAACCTCCCTCCACGGACCAACCAGCCACCCCCTATCGACCAACCAGCCTCCCTCCACCGTCCTACCAACCATCCTCCCTTCTCCGACCAACCAACTTTCCACCGTCCTACCAACCAACCTCCCTCCACCGTCTTACCAACCAACCTCCCTCCACCGTCCTACCAACCAATCTCCCTCCACCGTCCTACGAACCATCCTCCCCCCACCGACCAACCAACATCCCTCCACCGTCTTACCAACCATCTTCCCTCCACCGTCCTACCAACCAACCTCCCTCCACGGACCAACCAGCCACCCCCTATCGACCAACCAGCCTCCCTCCACCGACCAAACAACCTTCCTCCACAGTCCTACCAACAAACCCCCACAGACCAACCAACCTCCCTCCACAATCCTACCAAACAACGTCCCTCCACCGTCCTACCAACCAACCTCCCTCCACCGTCTTACCAACCATCTTCCCTCCACCGTCCTACCTACCAACCTCCCTCCACCGTCTTAACAACCATCTTCCCTCCACCGTCCTACCAACCAACCTCCCTCCACCGTCCTACCAACCAATCTCCCTCCACCGTTCTACCAACCATTCTCCCTCCACCGACCAACCAACCTCCCTCCACCGTCTTACCAACCGACCTCCCTCCACCGTCCTACCAACCAACCTCCCTCCACCGTCTTACCAACCATCTTCCCTCCACCGTCCTACCAACCAACCTCCCTCCACCGTCTTACCAACCAACCTCCCTCCACCGTCCTACCAACCAATCTCCCTCCACCGTCCTACCAACCATCCACCCTTCACCGACCAACCAACATCCCTCCACCGTCCTACCAACCAACATCCCTCCACCGTCTTACCAACCTCCCTCCACCGTCTTACCAACCAATCTCCCTCCACCGTCCTACCAACCATCCTCCCTCCACCGACCAACCAACCACCCCCCACTAACGTTCTACCAACCATCCTTCCTCCACCGACCAACCAACCATCCTCCCTGCAGCGTCTTCCCAACCTCCCTCCACCGTCTTACCAACCAATCTCCCTCCACCGTCCTACCAACCATCCTCCCTCCACCGACCAACCAACCATCCTCCCTGCAGCGTCTTCCCAACCTCCCTCCACAGTTCTACCAACCTCCCTCCACCGACCAACCAACCCCGGACACCTGCAGACCATCTACTTCAGGAAGAAATTAGACCAACGGCTTAATAACGAACGCAGACAATCGACTTCAGCATGAACGCAGACCATCAACTTCATCACGAACGCAGAAGGACATCACCATGAGTGCAGACCTTCGAGTTCAACATTACTGTAGACCTACGACTTCATCGAAATTGCAGACCATCAATTTCAGCATGAATGTACAGATGGTAGTTCAGGCATTGCCTGCTTGTACTTCATTTAGCCATATGTTACGGGTGTAATAGGATATGACTTCCCCGATGCCCACATTGCTTCACTTTCCCTTGTCCTCCCGGCAAGACTGAAGTGATCTTATCAATATAAAAACAAGGACTGATAGCCAGGAATACTCCATCAATTGTTTCATGAAAACCCAGCACCAGGGGGTGTTATTTTTCTCATAAACAATTTGGACATGAAGGGAAGGTTTGACTGATTTCCCTCACGGGTACAAAGAATATACAAATTGATTAAAAAGAAATATTCTTCTTTTAAAGCAAACAGGGCCCTGTGCGCCATCAGAGTGCCAAGCTATGCTTTTGATAAGGATATTGTTAACTTTGCACTACCTGCCGTAAAGCCCCGACTTCCGGTTCTGATTGGGGCTAATAATGAACAGAGGCCGAGTCTGAAACTTTGACCGCCACTGTGTCTGCAGTGATGGCTACGTAATGGTATTAACACCTACAGTATGTCACACTCACACACATATACTCTCACACACACACATACTCCCCGAACACACACACACTCATTCATACACACATACACACACGCACGCGAGCATGCATACTCTCTGTCTCTCTCTCTCTCTCTCTCTCTCTCTCTCTCTCTCTAACACACACACAAAGACGCACACACACACACGCACACACGTCGCTATTTAAATGCAATAATCTTGAACGCGACGTTTAACCCTATTTCACCCCTCCTCATTCACAGATTCATGTTATTCGGAACATATACTGCTGTCATCGTCACATGGCCATACGTCAACACGTTCTTAGGCCACATCACTTGGAGAACTTGTGTTCAAACCGAAACGTCTGGCACTGGACTTTTTCTATCTTATTTGCTGATTGTGTTTATTGTAAAGTCTTAACGAGTGTGGCCTTCACCTGGTGGATGAATTCAGTGCATGGCTGAAGACGTTGATGCACGAGCATCTAGTAGCGTATTTCCGGTACTGATGCAGTGGCGCTGATGCGGGCCGAGACAGCGAGTGAGGAGACTGGGTGACAAGCCATTGATTTGCGGGACACGTCTCCTCCATTCTGTACAGCCCCGGGCAAGGCGCGCTCTCACCGATTATCACAGGTCTTGAACCAGATTAGGGGATTCGCGACCCAGTCGAGGCCCTCATGTCATTCTTAAAACCGCCCTTAGAAGAAGAGGTCAGTGCTTGTCTGGGTGGGAGAGTGAGTGAGTGAGTAAGTAAGTGAGTGAGTTGGTGTCTGGGTGGGAGAGTGAGTTAGTGAGTTAGTGAGTGAGTGGGTGTCTGGGTGGGAGAGTGAGTGAGTGAGTGAGTGGGTGTCTGGGTGGGAGAGTGAGTGAGTGAGTGGGTGTCTTGGTGGGAGAGTGAGTGAGTGAGTAAGTGAGTGAGTGGGTGTCTGGGTGGGAGAGTGAGTGAGTGAGTTAGTGAGTGAGTGGGTGTCTGGGTGGGTGAGTGAGTGAGTGGGTGGGAAAGTGAGTGAGTGAGCATGGTGTTCCCACTTGATGCAGTGGCTGTACGTCGAGAGGTCATCTTGAAGTTACATCTACAACACGCGGAGATTCCACCTTAAGGTGATTATGTATAAGCAGGGTATGAAACTCCCAAAAATTTCAGCCAGACCACAGGACTGGCTAGCTGAAATACTTGCCAGCCCTGACCAAAACCTGCCTGCCCACTATAATCATATGTTTCTCAGGATAAGCTAACGGGGTTTCTTTTTGGTTACATTTTATCATTCATCTTTACATGTGAGTTAATGCTTATCATCGGGAAATATTTTGAATATTTTCACATATGAAATATAACCCGACCGTCGGGCAGGGGGATTTGAAAATATGGCAGCCCGAGTTGAAATCAACCCGTCTCGGACGGTCGGGCAGGCAGGTATTTCGAACACTGGTATAAGGATGCTCGTGTCTACCTGACTAGGTCAGTGGCAGAGTTATACTTTGCGAAGTGATCGTCCTAAAACGTCAGTATTCAGATGGCGAAAACTGATGACGTCGAAAATTGGACGAGGTTATTTTAGAGAGGGAAGTGTCTAGCGAGTTGTTCCCGATAGATGTAGATGGGCAATGCAGATAAACTCGATGACCCAACGATCGCATCCAAAAGTGGGAGAGATATGACATTCGGTACTGGGAGAAAGGGTACAGATAAATGACGTGAAAGTTGTAAGAATATCAGGGAAATACCAAACTTGACACCCATGTTCATAAAATAGACATTGCCAAGGTCTTCAGGGAGTCATCATTATTTTATTAAACCCCTTATGGTTTATTCCCCCTGCAGTGTTTTATTGTACGATAAACCACTCCAACTCGGCGTTTATTTCTTAAATAATAATCATCATTGGCAGAAACATACCATTGGGATATTGTGTGTTTCAAGGCACTTATTTCCTCATTCAGCATGATCTATGCGATGTACGTGGACATCGGTGCCGACAGTACCGTCGTAGTCAACGACCTTAAAATCAATAAATACTAAAAGTACTTTGAATATATCCTGATCTGGAGGATAGAGTTCTTTTTATGTGACAGTCGGAGTTTGGATTTTGAAGGTTTTCTTTGTCGTGACTCCCAAAACTAGGTCACGGAGAGGGGCATTAGTCCCACTTACGCCCCTCGACTTTAAAGGATATATCTCAATGTGAATAGGGCATAGACGCACGTTAGTCAACGTTATTGTCGCCACTTCCTGAAATATGGCATGCTGGGTGTATTTAAATCACTTCCGTCATCGGTGTTGGACAGGTCGCCTTTGTATAAAGTCCTTCAGGGACTTATTTCGAGCAAAGGGACAGGGTGGTCAAAGGCGCCATATTCGAATGCCTCCCATAGTAGTTCCAGAATCCGCTGGTCGTGGATTTTAAAAAATCAGAGTGCGGTTAGCCACGTTTGATCCGCCAATGGAAAACTGACCTGCATCTGTTTGATCATTTAGCTGATGTTTCTTAACGCCCTGGTTTAAAAAAAGTGTCAAATCCAACTCACTCTCTATTAGGGCCACGGGTTGCCAAGTCGCCTAAAGCGCCGCAGTTCGTTGTGAGTATCGTGCCAGGTGCGCCACAATCCTATTCCCGGACGGTGGGTTCGAACCCCATATTCCGCCTGATGGCATACACTGTCAACAGATGCCCAATGATGTCTAACGTCCGTAATTCCTTCTCGTCGGAGATAATCGGTGACGACCTTGGCACGATGTGGTCTGGCTTTGTCATCTTGCAGTTCACAATTTCAGCCGATAATTCTAGTTTACGGAACAACGAGAGGACGCATCGTTACGCAAACATATCGCTGGCCAGGCAACTGTCCATTCACAATAACCAAATCAGTTCGTCTGTCATGTGTGTGATACCGCCCTACACCATGACACAACCGCCCCCATACCAATCATCGTCAAAAATGTTCGCCGCTACGTCGCCAACAACATTTTCTGCCATCTGAAGATCGGAGGCAAAACCTTGATTCATCTGTAAATGTGCATCTGTGTTGCCTCGCCGTCAATGTTAAGCTGTTAGGGTCACACTCTTCACAGGACGCCTTTCTTCAGGCGGGCTGCTTACAGCCAGTTTTTAAATTTAAGAAATAAACGATGAGTGGGAGTTGTTTATCGTACAATAAAACAATATTTTACGATAAACAACGACTACGATTCGTTTATTTCTTGTATGAGAAAGAAAGGTAATGTTTACATTTGGAAAGTGGAAGACATCCCTCATGTACGGTGGCCCATAAGGGACATGGAATCTGTTTTTCAATATTTTGATATTTCACTTACTGTTATCGTAACTTTTGCAAATAACACGATTTGTCATACAAATATGTGATAAATCATGTATAAAGAAGATATTGAATCGCTGAAAAGTGAAGCGAAAATGTCAAAAACTAAAATGAAAATACAGAAAACCATTTCTACCGCGGTGGTAATATCATCACCGCGGTGAAAATAGTTTTCTGTATTTTCATTTTAGTTTTTGACATTTTCGTTTTTGTTTTTGACATTTTCATTTTAGTTTTTGACCGTTTCGTTTTTGTTTTTGACATTTCCTTTTTAGTTTTTGACGTTTTCGCTACACAATTCAGCGATTCAATAGCTACTTGAAAGTACATTTTCCATGTTTTCGGTTGTTTATATACATGATTTATGACGTATTTGTATGACAAATTGTGTTAATTTGCAAAAGGTTACGATAAAAGTAAGTGAAATATCAAAATATTGAAAAACAGATTCCATGTCCCTTATGGGCCACCGTACTCATGTCATACAGGTTTGTGGAGAGTCGTTTGTCTGAACCTTTATGCAGAGGCCTAAATATGAAACAGATGAGGCGGTCTCATCGGTCCCTGTATTTCTAGTTCAAGTGGGTAAATCAATCGAAGGGAATTGACCATTATTGAACGACATGAGATTCTCGATATACCTGACGCTTAAATTAAAACCCTTGTTTTGAGTCTGCCAGTCTGAGCAGAAAGTCCGGTTCATATGCATAAAGAAACAGATCAGAAAGGTGAGTGAGTGAGTGAGTGAGTATGGTTTTACGCCGCTTTTAGCAATATTCCAGCAATATCACGGCGGGGGACACCAGAAATGGGCTTCACACATTGTACCCATGTCGAGAATCGAACCCGGGTCTTCGGCGTGACGAGCGAACGCTTTAACCACTAGGCTACCCGACCGCCCCAGATCAGAAAGGAAAAAGCACACTTGGTGCCCATTGGAGTGCCTACTTCTTTCCTAAATGTCGTATCCCCATCTTACTAATGGGGAAGTCCAGCATTTCACATATTGTTTTCTCAATAAACTTCAGATGACATTTGCTTTCATATTTTACAAATTGTCCTGAACCTGTGAAGATTTAGATGTACCTAATTCTATAGTCACCACGTTTAGGATCTCAACATCACAGGCAGAAAGATGGTGTTTTTAATGATATAACTGAGAGATCTACATAGAACCCCACTGATGTTTGCCGCGGTGCAAGCAATGGTCCTTGGGTACTCTAGGTTCCTGGCGAGACGGAAGTGGGTCGTCAGCAATGTATGGAATGTATATGTCACGTGAGAGTAGGTAGATAACCAATGTCGTGATGGATGACGCCATCAGTTATTGTATGGCGCCGTGTCAGTGGTAATGGTCGACGTGCTTGGCATTTAGACACACAGTGTTATGAAGTTATTGGACATTTGATTCATGTTTCCATAGCGCTATCAATTCGGTTGAGATTACGTACAACGTTGACATATACACTCTACATCCCCGAGTTGGCAAGTGCACGGTGAGCATCGGTAACTGGACAACAGAACCTGTAACGTTTTACGAACATACGAGAATATATATAGTGTCAATACAATACAAGAACCAGTCTTGATTATCCGCCGAAACAGATTCCATTTGTCAAAAAGGGTATTATAACTATGAACATTAAATATGGACCACTGCAAACTCTGTGATGACCCCATGTGTCCGTGAAACAGGTAAGCATGCCCTGTCCCATCAGTACCCCAACCATTCATACAATCTGCATCAAAAAAGGAATTTCTCATTGCCCGACGCCGCACAATCACTTTCTGTTTCGTTCTTGAGTGAGTGAGTGAGTGAGTGAGTGAGTATGGTTTTACGCCGCTTTTAGCACTATTCCAGCAATATCACGGCGGGGGACACCAGAAATGGGCTTCACACATTGTATCCATGTCGTGAATCGAACCCGGGTTTTGGGCGTGACGAGCGAACGCTTTAACCACTGGGCTACCCGACCGCCCCAGTTTCGTTCTTGGAGTCAAAGAGGCACCCGAGTTTATACGGGTCGGCGTTAGTGATAACTGAGTTGACGGCGACTAGCACAATGTGAATTGTAAGCAGAAGTTAACTTAAACAAGCGTTCACTGTAACCGAAGTGACTTAACCAGCGTTGATTGTCACCAGTGTTACCTGTACACAGTGTTCATTGTAACCAAATGAGTGTTACTTAAACACCTGTCCATTGCAGCCAGCGTTAGCTGTAACTAGTGCCTATTGCAACCAGTGTTAGCTGAAATTAGCGGTTATTGCAACCAATGTTAGCTGTAACTAGCGGCTATAGCAACCTGTGTTAACTGTAAGTAACGCCCTTTGTAACAGGTGTTAGCTGTAACTAGCGTCCATTGTAATTAGTGGTAACTTCAACTAGTGTAATACTGACTGGCGCTTATTGTTGTCTAAGTTGGAATAGTGTGGGCATACTGCTATTAATAGGTCACCTTACTGCATGCATATGGACCTGTTCCCAATGCCCAGGGAGGTTGTATATACATATGTAATCCTCATACTATTAACATGAGGACAATTGACAAAGTTTTACAAATATGTTATCGCGTACTTGCCACATATTAAGGATTAGAAATTGTAACATAAGGGAATATTACAACTAACGAACCATGTTCTAGTATGTTGAACCTGCTGGTCAGATAGAGTTAGGCAAACAAATGTAAGACGTTAATATCTTTATCTGTGTCTACAGCTGTTTATCATCCACCCTTATCAAATCACCCGTACCATGTATACATTCGTGGCAACTGGTAAGCTATTATTCAAACTAAACTTTACCCATAAACACTTTTATCTGCAATTTCTCGATCAAACTAAATTATATAATACTGTCGAGATAGCCCTACTGAAGTTCTCAATAACAACTTTATCGTCCGTTTAATCAGTCAATGAGATTATCTGTAGTAGCTAGAATAGGTATAATACGGACGACAGACAGTCAAATCATTCTGTGGCTGTCTGATAAACTGACTGTTTATTCACTCAGGTAAGAAACGTTACTATCTTGTACTATGGTGAATCTTAACTATATCAAATTACCCTGGGCAATATCTGCAAGTTTATTTGGTAACCGAAAATGTCATACTTGATATATTTCCATTGTACAAATGCTGTGAAAAAATTATGTCAATTCTGTTAACTTTATTAATTTGTTTACCTTCTGGAATATGCATTATGGCTGAACTGAATGTATCTTGTGTGAATGCTCTCTCGGGTAATGCATTAGTTAGAGTGTGTCGGGTATACCAGATTCAATCAACCGCGGAATATGTATCGTGACTAATGTTGTACATGTATGTATCTGTGTAATTATTCTCTATTATGTTCATCTGATTGTCTTCGCCTATATGTACTTCTACAGCTGATTGTAAACACTCTCTAGTATTAGATTGCAAGCGTTCTATTGTTGACTGATGATGTTACGATTCTGTGGCTGTCTAATAAACTGACTGTTTGTTCACTCAGGTCTTGTGTTGTGTGGGTTGGTCGCGTACACCGGTACCTCTGCTGAGCGAGCTGATTCCCCGACTTAATAACACTAACGTAAACGAGATGCCGGGCAGCGCAACATTCCAGTGAAAGTAATGCAGAAATGCTGTCTGATAATACCCGTCTGTCATCCAGTTGAATCCAGCAATAATTTGATACCCTAATTACACAGAGGCAATGTCTCCGTTTCTCGAGAACACTTTTCCATAACGCGATCTTACAGCGATAATCGTAATTCTTAGTGAGATATGGGAGTTGTGACAGACAGTCGTGGTGCTGTGAACTAATTGCCCTGTCTAGCCATGGACATCAGACCGAGGACCTTAACTGTTGTTTGGGGCATGGAACGGAGACATTAGCGAGAGAGTGGTAGGTATTTACCAGTATTTGTGATGTGTTAAGCAACAGGTACTGACCTGTTTGACAAGGTGTTCCACAACGTCACAAAAACTGTAGCTGCAGCTTCCGTATTCCGCCTCCCTCCCATCCTCCAACCCCATCCCCACCCCCATCCCCGACCCCATCCTCCCATCCCTGCGAGATCCCTAATACCCCGTGATATAACTGGAAAACTATTCAATCGGCGTTAAAATCAGAACTTACTCATTCATAACTCGGTAACTGATTGAACAAAATGTTGTTAAATGATGGTTTTGAAAATGTTTTTGAACCATCTGAAAGTGTCTTTATAAAGTCATTTGTACCGGGATTAAAGCTTATGTACTTCAAATGGTGGTAATTTTCGTTGACTTATCTAATTGGATTCAGTTGAACAGTTGACTTGCCTTTGCAAGTGTTTGTGACGGGTGACATCGGTGGGTCAGGATACGCTCATCTTTTTGCGAACACATGGTATCATCTCTATTTGATTTCATAAACACATGCTGATGGTGTAGTCGGAATCTAGCAATGGACTCTGCTTTTGACAGAGATATCCCAGCTATCGCCAATACTACTTGTCATGTGTATGCCTAGTTTATTCCGCTATGAGAAAAACTATATCCCTGTGTATCACAATACTGAGCCAAACTTTATGAAATTACATTATCTGTTTAATAATAAAGACAAGTTAATCATGCAAAACACGTATATGTGTATGATTATTTGTGTATGTAATCCGAGTAATGGACTCACTTAACTTCCGGGCGAAAGTACCTTTTCTCTTTATTAAATTTAACTTGACTGAGTCTTTACTAAATCATTTGCTTCGACTGTCATGTACACCATTGCATATGGATGATATGATATAATACATTCCTTTCATATCCCGAACATCATAACTGTCTATATTTGTCAAGCTTCAATTGTAAATTGTCCATTGCGATTTCGTAATATTATGTGACAGGGAGGCAATAAGTGGTTCATGTGCCCAATCACGTTGTCTTTTTTAGCTATATAATATGCTTGAAACAAGAACAACAAAATAAAAGACGATGGCAGCCTTTCTAACCAACGAAGTGTAAACGTCCATGTATTGAGTGTTTCCAGCAGACGAAAGACGTCGACGCTACCATGGTCACCAGTAAGGCCGAAGGTCCAATGATACCATTAATTCAGAAGATCTTTTGCCTTTCCTTAAGGAGCCATTGAGACCCCACAACGTAAGGACAATATCTTACTTTGTGTCGTTGAAAGAAATCAAGCGACCCCAGACACTTTTGCTGATGGATGGGTCTGCAAACAGTAAGTGCCCACAGTATCGACTAGAGAGTATCGTTCTTGATATTGCTCTGAAACGTTGGACCAGATCCGAAAAAAGACTTCACGAAATGAGACAAAGACCGCGTGTTCCTGAATTTGAAATTTGCTAATCAGGGAATTGATGCCTTAAATTTAAATACATTTTCAGACAAAGATCAGTTTTCCAAAATGTCCAACAATGTTTCAAATTTCAGGAAACACCGAACAGTCATATGTACATTCATTTCCCTCTCACTCAACTTATTGTATGAAATAGTTATTATGTATAATGTCAGTTTGGAGCACCCGTTACTCACTCAAGTGATTTTATATGAATAACAAGACTGTAGTTATTCTTATTTCCCCCTGACAGACGCATATGGAATATTAGTGAATCAAAATTACGAGATACAAGGTCAAATAGGTCAACAATTATGAAAGTGGTTTTAATTTTGTTTTTTAATATAAGCTTCCTGCTTTTCAATACACTTCTCACATCGATAGTGAACCTTTTCAATTCCTGTCAGGAAGAAGCTTACAAAGGCTACCCTGAAAAAACCATTCACGGCAGCTTTGAGGTCATCGTTGTCGTCATAGCGGTTTCGAACCCACATTGTCGTACAGCAGCCTTTGCTAGTCGAGGTGTGAGAAAAGGCATTATCATGAAGTAGTAGAACTCCAGCAGTCAGCACCGGTAATCGTTTTGACTTTCTAAGTAATCAACAAGGTACAAAGACCTTTGCATCCCCGAATACAGTGGTCATAGCTTTCTTCACTGATCTTGAAGACATGAATTTCTTTGGTACCGGAGAAGTGGAATGGTGCCATTCCATGGACTGACGTTTTGACTCAGGATCATATTGGTAGACCCATGTTTCATCCCCCGTAACTTACTCTTTTTGAATTTGACGAAATCCTCCTAAATTAGCTCTAGGTTTTCTCTGGGAATGTCAGTTCTTTTTTTCCTTAAGATCAGAATTTAGAACCTTGGCACCCAACGAGCAGATGTCTTATTCATCTGTATATGTTCAGGAATCATAGTTTCAGTGGATCCAGGGCTTCGATCTGTTGCCGTTACCAAATTGATGCAACGTTACAGACAGACAGGGCGGACCGTTAACAGGCCAAGAACAGGCAGACCCAGGGTGACCACGCCCCATGATGACCGGTACTTGCGTACCTTGCACCTCCGAAATCGCTTCCTGACAGTGACGTCATCGGCGACAAATGCCTTAGATCACAGGGTTAGTCGACAGACAGTGGCAAGGAGATTAAGGGCTCATTGAATCAGGGCTTTTAGACCATACAGAAGACAGCTATTGACAGCGCAACATCGTCGTCTGCGATTGAGATGGGCCCGGACTGTACGACGTTGGCAACGACGTGACTGGCAGAGGGTTGTCTTCACTGACGAAAGTCGATTCTGTATGTTTAGGGCTGATGGAAGACAACGTGTTTACTGCCGAAGGGGTGAACGAACGGCGGCGTGTTGCGTGCAGGAGGTCGTACCATATGGTGGAGGGAGTGTCATGGTGTTGGGAGGGATCTGTGGGCAGGAGAGGACACCGCTGGTCATCGTTGACGGAAACTTGACAGCTCAGCGTTACATGGATATCATTCTTCGTCCAGTTGTCCTACCTTTTCTCCAACAGCAGCCACGTGGTGTCATTTATCAGCATGACAACGCTAGAGCCCATACAAACAGAATTGTCACTAACTTCCTCGCAGCCAACAACGTCAACGTCCTGCCGTGGCCTGCACGCTCACCCGACATGTCCCCCATAGAACACCTCTGGGACTTGATGGATCGTCGTGTTCGACAACGACCACACTCTCCTGCCAACCGGCAAGAACTGATCTTGGCCCTCCAAGAAGAATGGCGTCAAATCCCATGTGACCTCATCAGACGACTGACTTTTTCTGTGCGTCGAAGAGTTTTTGCGTGTATTGAGGCATTTGGTGGTCACACACGCTACTAATGACTTGTTATTGAACGTGAGCGATTGTTTATGTACTCAGCCTATTGTCCATGATTCTGAAAGCTCGAGTTTTGTACCACACCCAACTTTGGGGGGCTCTGACGTCATTCTCGGTCGCGGTGTGATTGTCATTTTCAGTGTTGATTATGTTGATATATTGATCTTCTCAATACACTTTACTTCATGCATGTATGTTTTGTTGTTTTTGAGCAAGAGTGATTTCAAACTCTGGTAAAGTTTCTTTCTGACGTCAGTTTATATCAACGTCTTTTCATTATAAGATTTATATGTTCTTTCTTTAAATGAGTTCTCATTTTACAGTTATAATTATATCAATGCAACGCCTTGGCATTAAACAAAAAAACATTAGGAGATTGAGTATCAGAGTTTGAAAATAAACATGACATTCCGAGTAGGCATCTGATTGATATCAGTCATCATATACTGCCGACAGAACATGAGGGGACTAATGAAATGACAGCGAAGAAGTAATGACGATACATGTCTGTAACATTATGTCGGGCGTGTAGATCAATATCTGCTGTGTCCATACTGGTGATTAACTTGCGTATAGTTGCCCATGGTATTGCCTGCCATTCCGCCTGAAGAGCTACTACCCCTACTACTACCGGACCACGCTGGTGGGTGCATGGTCTCTGGCGTACACTGTCCCTCCGAGAACACCCCACAGAGCGCTCTATTGGGAACACGTCAGGGGTCTGGGCGGGTCCGCAATGTCCCTCGGACATACTCGGTGAAGGATAGGCACAGTGTGGTCTGGCATTGTCATCTTGCAGTTCAAAACTTCTGCCGATAATTCTAGCAAACGGAAAACGACAAGACGGATGACTTCAACTTTCTGGTAGTCAACTTTCTCTTTATATCAAGCAGTGTTCCAGCAGCAGCAGCAACCCTTGGTGTCGAACTTTTCGGGTAGAATCGAGCATGTTCTTTCCACGAATATTTCAAAGAGCGTCACACGCGTCAATCTCATATGTTGTTTGATCAAGGTTTCAGCATCCATTGCCTCAACAAAGATTTCAAAACGTTTTCTGGTAGACATGCGGAGGACATTTCCACATCAGTGACGCATCAGTTACAAAAGTTATGTTCAAGCAAGTGGCTTCTGATCATGTTGGATTCCACCGGCGGGGCAGGACACGTTCACCTTACGCGACCACCTGGTATCATAACCAAATCATAGAACACATGCTTTTTCTCATAATCATGGACATACTTTGGTGACTTTTAGCTAAATTGTCCACTCGAGCGTACAGCATGACATTTGATACCCATATGAATACAATGATGAATCCCACACACCCATACATACCTTTGCCCAGCCACACAGCCCCACCACTAATTCCAACACCCACGATCACACAACCCCATCCCTAATCCACCCACCTATAACCACCCAACCCAACCCCTAACCCCCTAACCCCCTCACCCACGATCACACACCCATGCTCTTCTCCTCAACCGTCATTCGGCGGCTCTTGCCAGAAAAGGCGACAGGGGTGTGTGGGGGGTGGGTGTGGGGTGTGTGACAATTCATTAGTTCTAATATGACATCGTCAGTATTTCTCAGTGAAGAATGTTTTTAACTTGATTGACAGGTGATTACCTTTTTATGACATTTCACGTCTCGTCCATCTGGGAGTTAAAGACAGTGAAATACATACGGTGCTGATGTCAACCATGTGCTATTTCGTCATTAGATTATTGACATTAGGCTCCGTCGTCTGCTACAAATGCTACGTCCCTGGGCAATGCGATTGAAATAAATTCATTAAGCTGATGTTAAACAAATATGTACCGTTGTGAATCATCTAGACCTCGTCTAGTCCCAGCATCACTGGATACGGGTAAATCTCTTGAATCACCTCCGAAATTGGTAACATTAGCCACAGGTGATCAATATTTTCACGATCTTTACTTATGAGTAAGCAGTAGCATACGTTCGGAGTATTTTATACAATATATTTACAAGTTAGAAAGACAACGAAAGGAAGGTTGAAGGTCTTTAAGAACCTTGTGTTCAAGAACAGGAGAAGTTTTGACTGAACTAGGGCTCGGAGAACTTTGGTGATCCTGTCGACAGATCACGCAAACATTTCCTTACCAGCCCACTGTATTTTTTGACAGAATGTGCTCTGACTCAAATGTGAATATTTAGAAGAGAAGCAGTTTGAAGATTGAAATACGTTTATTCGGCATTACGATGGACTTCAAGTTTAAATCATCCATCAAAGGTCAGCGGTTGCACAATGTGACACGATTGAACAAGTCGCCATCAAAAATCCAATTTGGCAGGATAAAAACGGCATCTAACAATCCTTCAATTTAATGCAGTCCATTTTCAATTTGATTGTGCCCCGGAACTCTATCGTAGTAAATAAAGGCTGCTGATGTTGCAGGCATGTCCCGTTAAAGTGAAGACTCAACTCCAAATGGCTGATTAATGTGATTATGTCTCAACACCAGGACAAGCTAGAGCCCTTCAGTGCATCTTGCATGTCGAGGAGTGAGTGAGTGAGTTGGGTTTAACGCCGATATACACAGTATTCCAGTTATACCATGGCTTGTCGAATTAAAGTGGGAGGAAAGCCTAAAGTGATGCAGGTCTTAGACCTACAAGGAGGGGCATGGTGAAACCTAGAATCATGATACAGTCGAACATACATCGGACGTAGGAAGGCTTGTAGGAGTGTGTGGGTTTATTGTCAAGTTTAATACGTGAAATGTTTTATTAATAAAGTTCAATACATGTCCTGATTTATGATTCAAGTTCAATACATGGCGTGTTTAATTAATCAAGTTCAATACGTGACATGTTTTATGAAGCAAGTTCAATACACGACATGTTTTATAAATCACGTTCAATACACGAAATGTTTTATAAATCAAATTCAATATGTGACATGTTTTATTAATCAAGTTCAATAAATGGTATGTTTTCATATAGGTATGAGCAAGACACAATCTTAATATTGTAACTTGCAAAAGACCGCATTCCATTTCTATTAGCTTCAGTCACAGTAGCAGCAGTAGAAGCTGTTGTAGTTGTTGTCTGGTAGAGTTGTGGTAGTGGTCGTGTTGGTAGTGACAGCAGTGGAAGCTGTTGTAGTAGTTGTCTGGTAGAGTTGTGGTAGTGGTCGTGTTAGTAGTGACAGCAGTGGAAGCTGTTGTAGTTGTTGTCTGGTAGAGTTGTGGTAGTGGTCGTATTGGTGGTGACAGCAGTAGAAGCTGTTGTAGTTGTTGTCTGGTAGAGTTGTGGTAGTGGTCGTGTTGTTAGTGACAGCAGTAGAAGCTGTTGTAGTTGTTGTCTGGTAGAGTTGTGGAGTAGTATAAGCTGCAGTAGTTGTGACGTAACAGTTTCCCAATCCGATGCATGTCCTGGCATTTAAATTTGTACTGAACTTCAAAGGAGTTTGCAGAAAGGGTAGTGCCTCTCGAAGTCATCTGTCGCAGCTGAGCAGCCTGCAGTATTACTTCTTGCAGGTGTTGCACTGACTGCTACTCGCTATCACGTCACATGTCTTACTGGCTCAGCTCGGAAACCTTTACGAATGTCGTTTCAGGGCCTGCAAGCTGCATGTGGAGGGTAAGACTGACATTATGGGCGCGTTACACGTTTATCTCTTTGGCGGAACTCATGATTACGTGTCTTCACGTGACATAAAGTGTTATTATTGCAAGGATTTCACAGCAAAACAAAGTGATTAAAAACATTATACACTGCTGTCCCTCCCGAAAGATAACACATAAACCAAGAATCCCCCCCCCCCCCCCCCCCCCCCCTACCAAGTTGTAATAGCTTCAAACATTGTAAACTTTGAAAGTATGAACAGTTCACCAGGTACATAGGGCATATAGGTAGATGTTTTGCTTGAATCAACCAATGACGTCATGAACAATCACTGACATTTGACTCCATTCATTCACAAAAGTCCTTGAACTATATCACTTCCCAAGGGGAGAATCTTAACTTGATATCTACCCATTACGTGTCTCTCAGCTACATCAGCACTGGTTACCTGACACTGCCCATTCAAACCTACATTATATATTTTGAAAATAACAAGTATTGGGTGGCGTAAGGTGTGTGGAGGACAACGATGTAATTATCATCGCCCTCAGCGACGTCGACCTGACGCTGCTGATGCTGCTTACTTATATTTATAGCATGTTTCTGCAAGCACAGTGATTCTTAACAAAAGGTCAAACGAATTTGTCACAATTATGTTGCGACTTTGCATGCGACATGTCATCTGTGAGGCCGAGTTGTCAACAGCGACCAGTTGATTTGTCGGCCGCCTAAGTAGCGGACTTGTGATCACGAAAGCTGAGACTCTAGTCTCATTCAAACTTAATCCTTTAGAAAGGTCAGCCTAAGAATGAGTTGTCGGAAACAGTATGTCATAACTCT